GTGAGTGGACATGGGCTCCCATCCCTATCCTAGAGACTATCTATAATTAATACCCACCATCAAAGTAAAAATCTGTTTTCTCTAATGGAGTGTTACTGGATATATCGAGGCAGCATGTCCAAATGTAGTTAGCCAACACAAAATAAATTCCAGGATTTTTAGTATGTGTGTTGTGTGTGTGTATGGGGGGATTTGTGTTTGACATCTTTGTCTTATTTGTTTTTGTTTGTTTAGATATTTGTTTTCTAGTATTTTTTTTTTTTTTTTGGTTTTTCGAGACAGGGTTTCTCTGCATAGTCCTGGCTGTCCTGGAACTCACTCTGTAGACCAGGCTGGCCTCGAACTCAGAAATCCGCCTGTCTCTGCCTCCCAAGTGCTGGGATTAAAGGCGTGCGCCACCACCGCCCGGCTTCTAGTATTTTTTAAAGACAGGAAAAAGGGAAAACATAAATTTGAGTGGGTCAGATAGAGGAGAGGAACTGGGATGAATTGAGGGAATGGGAAAACATGATCAAAATATCTTGTATGAATTTTTGAAAACCAATACTGTTATAAAGGTTAATAAAATAATGATTCTCAAGAAGAAACATTTTTAAGGATTAAAAAATTTTAAAACAAGAATAGAAAGCTAATGACCACTGAAAGAGAATTAGTCTTTTGTAGGGATAAATCCTCTAATTGGTTACACAACACAAAATAATCACATACTCTACATACCCAGACATTCCACTTCCTTCTTCAAGCTCTAGCTCAGTGTCTTTCCCATGACCTCCCTATCTGTACCTTCTCATTCATGTCTTCTCAGTCATGTCCATTACTATTCTATTGACAATAGCTAGGAAATGGAAACAACCTTAATGTCCTTCAAACGATGACTGGATAATGAAAATGTAGCACATAAACATGTAAGTGTCTTAGTTAGGGTTTCCATTGCTGTGAAGACATACCATGACCAAGGCAACTCTTATAAAGAATAACATTTTCCTAGAAAAAGATTTACTTACTTTATGTATATGAGTCCTCTATCTCCATACTGTATACCTGCATGCCAGAAAAGGGCATCAGATGAGGTTGTAGGGAATTGAACTCAGGACCTTTGGAAAAATAGTGCTAGGCCGGGCGGTGGTGGCGCACGCCTTTAATCCCAGCACTTGGGAGGCAGAGGCAGGTGGATTTCTGAGTTCTAGGCCAGCCTGGTCTACAGAGTGAGTTCCAGGACAGCCAGGAAAACATAGAGAAACCCTGTCTCGAAAAACAAACAAAAAAAAAAAGAAAAAGAAAAAGAAAAATAGTGCTTTGAGCCATCTCTCCAACCCCAACAATAACATATATTTGGGGCTGGCTTACAGGTTTAGAGATTCAGTCTATTATCATCAAGACAGGCGCACAGTAGCATCCAGGTAGGCATGGCACTGGAAGAGCTGAGAGTTCCATATTTTCATCTGAAGGCTGCTAGCAGAGTACTGGCTCCCAGGCAGCTAGGATGAGGGTCTTAAAGCCCATGCCCGCAATGACACACTTCCTCCAATAAGGCCACACTTAATCCAACAAGGTCATACCTCACAAAAGTGCACACTGCTACATGGAACCTTTTCTCTGGTTCTTAAACTTGATTGTACATATCCTTAATACTACAGTTGCAACATGACAAGTCCCCCTGTTTTCAACTGTTTGGGTTGTCTCAAAACCCCAAGGTGATTTTTGGCTTTTTCTTCAATCAGAAGAGATTCTTCTGGTGATGGTGGAGAATATCGCCTAACAACCAGAACCTAACTCTGGAGGTTCCAGAAGTGGTTTAGTTTAGTGTAAGCAGAGGTGGTAGATGTTAACAACTCTAAATAATTTTTTTTTAAAAATAAATATGAACTTTAACATCTACCACCTCTGAACAAAGTTTTTATTCTTACCTCTTCGAGGATCACTACCTGCACTGACACTACCTGCACTGACACCACACATGGGTAAAAGCATGTTTGCCTTTCTGTGTCTGGATTATTTTACTTACTGTCTTCTGGATTCCTCCATAAAGAAGATAGGAATTTGCTTTAACATCCCATTATACTACACCCACTCTCTTTCCAATTTTTCTCTTGTTTGTTTATTTTAGACAGGGTCTCACTTTGTAGACCATGCTGGCCTTGAACTCATAGAGATCCACCTGGCTCTGCCTTTGCCTCCCAAGTGCCAGAACTAAAGGTCTCTCTCTCTCTCTCTCTCTCTCTCTCTCTCTCTCTCTCTCTCTCTCTCACACACACACACACACACACACACACACACACACACACACACCATTTAACCATTTTAAAAGATTTATTTATAGCTGGGCAGTGGTGGCGCATGCCTTTAATCCCAGCACTTGGGAGGCAGAGGCAGGCAGATTTCTGAGTTCGAGGCCAGCCTGGTCTACAGAGTGAGTTCCAGGACAGCCAGGGCTACACAGAGAAACCCTGTCTCAAAAAAAAGGAGATTTATTTATGTATATGAGTACTCTATTTGCACATATACCTGCATGACAGAAGAGGGCATCAGATCCCATTACAGATGGTTGTGAGCCACTATGTGGTTGCTGGGATTTGAACTCAGGACCTCTGGATGAGCACCCAGTGCTCTTAACTGCTGAGCCATCTCTCTAGCCCAAAGGTTTCCCTTTTTTATTTATTTTATTCATCATTAAAATTTCTTTTATTGAATATTTTGTGATTGCTAAGCATTATTATCATTATCATCATCATTATTATTATTATTATTTTATTTTATTTTTGGTTTTTCGAGACAGAGTTTCTCTTTATAGCCTGGGCTGTCCTGGAACTCACTCTGTAGACCAGGCTGGCCTCAAACTCAGAAATCCAGCTGCCTCTGCCTCCCAAGTGCTGGGATTAAAGGCGTGCGCCACCACCGCCCGCACTAAGCATTATTTTAAAAAATTCAAATACAATTAAATACACCATTACCTCATTTCCTTTACTTCCTCCAGCCTCTCCCACATGCCTGCTCCCTGCTTCCTCTTAAATCCATAACCTCAGGAACTGGGAAGATGGCTTAGTGGTTAAGAGCACTGGCTGTTTCCAGAGGTCCTAGGTTCAATTCCTAGCACCCACATGACAATTCATAACTGTCTGTAACTCCAATTCCAGGGATATGGTACCCTCACACATGCTTCATACATGCAGGCAACACACCAATGCACAGGAAAAATTTTCATGACCTCTTTTTCTTTAATATATATATATATATATATATATATATATATATATATATATATATATATATATATATACTCAGTTCATTTAGTGTTTCTTTTATGTATATGATTTCAGAGTTGACCACTTAGAAATATAAATGAACAATCAGTTAAGGAACTCATCCTTTGGAAAAGTTTTCTTTTGTAGTTATTATTTCCTCTGTGTGTGATGTATGTGGGAACACAGATAGGCCACAGTGTCTGTGTAGAGGTCAGAGGACTTGTTTTGTAGCCCATCTTGGAGAATGTTCTTTTTGTGTAGGATCTTACTTTGTAGCACAATACAGGCTTGCCTCATACTCACAGCAATCCTCCTGCCTCGGGTTCTGAAGTACCACAATTATAGGCTTGGCTTAAGAATGTGTATTCTGAACCCCTGCTTGAGTGGTCATTATGGGCAGCAAGATGACACCTGACAGCAGGGTCATGCAGCTTCTGTAATTTCACAGCATTCTAAAGGAAGTATTTCCTCAGCCACAAAATACTGCAGAAAGAAATAATAAAAAAACCTTACCTCAGATATACAGAAGGAAATCTATATCTCAAGAAGAAATGCAGTTTATACAGTGTAGAAGTCCAGAACCTCATTGTGTCTTAGGTTTGTCATCAGACAAAAGGATTATCTTTACAATAAAAGATGTTCAAAATGACAAATGAAGAATTGTATATTAAATACCTTAATAAATATTCTGCCAAAAAAATGAAGTAGCTGGGTGGTAGTGGCGTATGTCTTTAGTCCCAGCACTAGCAGTAAGAAGCAGGCAGATCTCTGAGTTTGAGGCTAGCCTGGACTAAAGAGTGAGTTCCAGGACAGCCAGGACTACACAGAGAAATCCTGTCTCAAAAAAACAAGAAAAAGAAAGAAAGAAAAAAAAGAAATTCTAAATGATCAGCCACTTGTATCTCCAACTTTATATATCTTGGTCAGCTTCTCCACAAGCTGAACTGAATTTAATGTTCAGCTCTCATGACATGTGGAAATGGAGCCCTAGATTGCCTGCTAAGGCTAAATGCCAAAAGGCCTCTCCCTGTTAAACAAAGGGACAGGAATGTGGCCAGGTACAGCACCAATATCTGAGTTAAAACACAGCAGACAGAGGAGACAGAGACAGGCAGATCTCTGTGAATTCTAGATCAGCCTGGTCTACACAATAAAGTCAGGGTGGGACCCTCTGCTGATAGATACAGACACTTACAAGTGACAGCCTAAAATTCAAAATGACAGTTTTTCCTTAAAGATACTATGTAGGTTTTTGGTTAATAAGTAGAAAACCCTTAATAGTGAAAAAAATAAATACACATCAATCTTGAATTTATATAAAGAGAAAGAGGAATATAGGTGTTTTTATCCATGAAGATATTAATCTCCAAAGAAGAAAGAAATGGGAATTGATATGTTTTCAAGGGTACATAGATAATAAATAAATCCAAGCCTTTGATCTCAATACTTGAGAGACAAAGAGACAGAAAGTTTCCTTATGAAATCAAGGCCAGCCTAATTAACAGAGCAAATCCAAGTCAGCCTGAGCTACACATAGAAACTATATCTCAATAAATAATAATTGTTTTTAATTGTTTTAAATTATCAAAATGAAGATGGCTATAAGTTAAATGGTTATGGTGATATGATACATCCTCCTTGAGAGAGGTCAAAATAAAGCGCACTTGAATAGTAAAGGGGCTCCTGGATTGAATCAGTCTATACTTTTTTTTTCCTTTTAAAGAAAATGTTTTAAATTTTTTTATTTTTATTTTTTAAGACTGTTTCCTGCATGATTTATCTCCTCAGTTATTATCCGTGGGACTCTGAGAAGTTGTAGGAATATGCAGGCACGGACTCAAAGTCCAGCTTTATCTCCAATATTGTAGAAAGGGACTGTACATCACCAGACAGTGTCCTAAGCTCCCATACGCCACTAGGACAGAGCCCAGGGAAAGTAAATTCTATACTTAAAAAAAAAGATATATTTATTTATTTTACGTATGTGAGTACACTGTAGCTGTCTTCAGACTCACCAAAAGAGGGCATTTGCTCCCATTAGAGACAGTTGTGAGTCACCATGTGGTTGCTGGGAATTAAACTCAGAATTTCTGGAAGAGCAGTCAGTACTCTTAACCACTGAGCCATCTCTCCAGCCCTCCCTCAGTCTATACTTCTAATGACTTCAAACTGCTGGACCAAAGGCATACTATGTTGGGAGAGAGGGTCTAGATTTATGTTAACAGGAAAGAAGAAAAGGCTTTGAATTCCTTCCAAAATTATAAAAATCAGATTTGATATAGGAAGACCACTGAAGATCTTGGCTACAGACAGGAAAAAAGAAATTAAGAAGACCAAACAGAATAGGTAACATGATTTGCTAATCCCTCTACATGAGAACAGCCCTGAGACTGGCTGAGACATGAAAACGTCTCTAATCAGAACTTCTGCTATACATAGCCAATAGATTTTGTTGGCTACAAAGTCCCCAGAATTCATCATGCCATCCTTTCATATGACATGAATGAAAATTTATATTGTAGTTTGATTATATAGTCAAACTAACTTCTAAGGAAGTTCTGCTCAAAGAGCAGAAAATCATTCTTAATTTATCTGTGCACCCTGCACATTCCATACATATGTCTTCATAGAACTATGTTGTAGAAATTATTTAATCCTGACCAGTGTTTCTACCCCACCTTGGACTCTTTAGTTCCTGGATAAAAGACACACACAGACTTTATATTTACAATAAGCCTTGAACAGCACAAGAGCTGGGCGGATACCTACCCTTTATGTTATTAAAATCTACTTTCCTATCAATAACCCAAATTATTACTATGTTACATTTGGACTGCTCTTAACTCCAATTGGCCAGCCCTCATGGCTCACCTAACCCATGGTGGCTTCTCTTCTTTCTGCACCTTCTTCTCTCTTTGTTGTTCTCCTCCAACCCCAAGCCTGTGAAACCTGAACCTCACCTATCTCTTTTCTGCCCAGTTATTAGATGTTGGCATCTTTATTTACTAATAAATAATTTGGGGGCAGGGTCACTTAGTGTCTACATGCTGACTCTCATCTCTGAGGCAACCAGTCTTGGGGTCCTAATATTAGCATTAGAATATAAGCAGCAACAGGCCAACCCACTACAGAACTGTATTTCATCTAAGGTTTGTATATTGCAGAATGAAAAACCAGGAGGGTAGCCCTGACAGGATTCACCCTCAGAGATGCTGAAATACTGAGACTTGCTGTTCCAGCTCCCTGATTGATCTTGCCTCAAACTGAAGCTTTTCTAGAAGCTCTGTTTCCAGAGGCGAGCTTCAGAAAGGAGTGCTAATCCCAGATGACCTCAGTTTCTCCAGCCCTTCAGACTGTTCCTGTCAGGACTTCAGTTAAGCCCTGAACATAATCAGAACACAGAGACTGGACAACAAAAGATGCCAGCTAGCTTTCTTTCTTTGTTTCTGTCTTTGTTTCTTTTCTTGTATCTTTGTTTGTCTGTTTCTTTTTTTCTTCCTTCCTTCTTTCCTTCCTTCCTTTCTTCCCTCCCTCCCTCCCCCTTCCCTCCTTTCCTTCTTTCCTTCTTTTTCTTCTCTCTCTCTCTCTCTCTCTCTCTTTCTTTCTTTCTTTCTTTCTTTCTTTCTTTCTCTCTTTCTTTCTTTCATTCTTTCTTTCTAATGTATGAGTATACTGTAGCTGTCTTCAGACAGATAAGAACAGGGTATTGGATCCCATTACAGATGGTTGTGAGCCATCATGTGGTTGCTGGGAGTTGAACTCAGGACCTCTGGAAGAGTCAGTGCTCTTAACTCCTGAGCCATCCCTCTAGCCCCTGCTAGCTTTCTTTTGACTTAACCATTTTTCCAATTCTCTTAGACCCCAAAACAGGAATTTTTTCACTCCAATTCAGCAGGAAGCAATTATGAGAAGAACGTTGCCCCAGTCCCTTAAATTGGGATGGATGGTTTTGGTCATTTTGTAAATTATACATATGTTATGGATAATTTACAAATAATTATGTTCTTAGGGAGGAAACTAGGAAGCTTAGACTCAGGAATTTTTGTTTCCTTTCGTCTTCTCTATCTTCCTTCCTTCCTTTCTTTCTTTCTTTCTTTCTTTCTTTCTTTCTTTCTTTCTTTCTTTCTTTCTTTCTTTCTTTCTTTCTTAAATAAAGGGTAAGGGGTTAAAAATAAAAAAGGAAGAATATAGAAATATAAAAATATTAGACAAATAGGAATCTACTCTTAAACCAAAAACTATTTTATAGCCATAATCTTACATTGGTAGAGATCTGTGTAGCACTTGGGAGGCAGAGGCAGGTGAATTTCTGAGTTCAAGGCCAGCCTGGTCTACAGAGTGAGTTCCAGGACAGCCAGAACTACACAGAGAAATCCTGTCTCGAAAAAAAAAAGATTAATTTTGCTACAACATAATATATGTATGTTTCAACTCTTAGATAGGCAAAGTGCCCATGCAACTCATTTAAATATACAAGGTTTAGGTCCAGTCCTATTAATAGATGCTATTATAAACTGTTTAACATAATTAAATAATGTAAGTTAAGGGTCAGTCAATCAAACTCAAAGTCATGTTAGATACTAGTCTAGATTATCACAGAAATATACATCCTGTTACTTGTTTGGATATGCTATAAATAGATAGATGGTCTTCAAAAATCTCAGAGACTCACAGAATATGGCATTTAATCATAATTTTGTTAATTTAAGATCTTTTTTGACATTGATACACATCAATTTCTAGCAGTACACCATTCAACTTGGAAGATGATGAACATCAAAAACCTACATATAGAATTGCTTCAATTATAGCAAGCTGATCACTGGAGAAACAAAATGCCATAAATTTGTTTGCAGACAAAATGCTGTCCAAAAAGAATAAATGGACACAAGATAGTCAATTGCCAAGCTCTGCTAAGACAGGGTAAGAAAATCCTTAACAATTCCTGCTTCATAAATGTCTGTCAGATATTCTAGGCCCAAATGCTGAAGATAGAAATTTTAGCATCATAAAAAATATTGGGGACTATCCAAGAGATCAGCTGTCTCTGTCATTTCTATAATTTTTGGAAACTGTGTTCCTGTACTTCCTACATACTCAGCTCTCAAATAATATTTATTCCTTCTCAGGACTCTGATGGGGCTAGAAACTAGATAGTTATAATCTCAGAATTAAACTTAAGTTGTTTAGTATTTAGAAATATGTTTAGGTCTAAGAAGATGTTTTTAGGATGGTAGTGCAAGTACAGATAGAAATCGAGTTAAGTAAAAAAATGTAAACATAAACACAACCAAAATAGGATACATAATATAATATCTTCTACAGTTGCAAAATACTATGGACTGGATAATGTAAATCTATATCATACCTTATAGTTTTCATGATTGTTTTATAATTATAACTGTATTTAATTTATATTTAAAAGAAAAAGAGCCTTTTATTGGACAAAAAGAGGAATTGTAGCAAGAATATATCTTCTTTATTGTATGGATGCATCATCTGTCAATTAAAAAGCCTATGGCCTATGATTTAGTCAGGAAATAGATGTGAGACATCTAGGTGAGAGAAAGGATATTCTGGTATACACCCAGGCAGAAAATACACCTGGGAAGATGTGTTGCAGTGAGTTTTTGGCTGCACCACCCAGGAGCTATCTTAGATCTGCAAATGTAAAACACACACACACACACACACACACACACACACACACACACACACCAGTTAATTTTAAAATGTCCTGGCTAATTCAAAGGCTGAGCACTCCTAATTTTTCCCCTATTACCCCAGGCCCAATGAGGGTAGTGGTCAGTGGCCACTTACTCAGAAACTCACATGGCTGGTTAGCTTTATCTCCTGCTGCTACTATGTCCTCTTCTTCCTCATTCCTGGAGATTTTTTCTTCATCCCACCCTCACAACTCTGTGTGTCCTACCTTGTGCCCAGTCATTGGCCACAGGCATCTTTACTGATAGATAAAAAACCAATTAGGGGCAAGGACCTTCAGAGTCTGGACACACAGGTTCAAAGCATTAGCACCAATCTCCAACAAGATATTACAAGACAGACACATGATATCTGAGTACAGCCATGTGGCAGAATGTAGGTTAAATTAAATGGGTTATCTTTAGTTAGGATCTAGTCAGAGCAGAGCCTAGCTATATTGTCAGGGTATTTGTAAATGTATTTTGAGTCTGAGTCTTATTTCTGGGAGCACAGGACTGGGAAGAAGAACTGGGACCTAACTTCAACATTTATTTGTTTTTTGAGACAGGGTTTCTCTATGTAGTCTATGAGTCTGAAACTCACTTTGTAGACTAGGCTAGCCTCAAACTCACAGAGATCTGCCTGCCTCTGAGTCCCCAGTCCTGGGATTAAAGGCATGTACCACCACACCCAACTACTTGTACACATATTAACACTTATTAAAGTTTACATTATTTTTTATTTTTTATTTTTTTGGTTCTTTCGAGACAGGGTTTCTCTGTGTAGTCCTGGCTGTCCTGGAACTCACTCTTTAGACCAGGCTGGCCTCGAACTCAGAAATCTGCCTGCCTCTGCCTCCCAAGTGCTTGGATTAAAGGCGTGTGCCACCACCGCCCGGCTAAAGTTTACATTTTTAAATGTGTTTTAAAAAATGTGTATTCTGGAACTGTAGAGATAGGTCAGTGGATAAAAACATGGACTGCTCTTCTGGGGTGCTTGAGTTTGATTCCTAGCACCTACATGGAGCTTTGCAAACATCTATAGCTCTAATTCCAGGGGATCTGACATCTTGTGGCCTTTGGGCATTGTGTGAACATAGTAAGCAAAACATACATGCAGACAAAACATTCATACACATAAAATAAATATTTTTCTAAATGTTATCTACCTTAGGAACAATTTCATATTATCCAATCACTATGGAACCTATTTGGAACATCTTTTCAAGAAGATAGATGATTTGTAGTTT